GTTAATGACGGTTCATGCGTCGATCCGGGATCAACTGCGCGGGTCAGGAGGCCTACCGCGTCAAGGAGCGGATCGATGAAATGTGATGTATCCCTCCAAGGGTCCTCGGATCGGCCAGGGAATGCCGCTCCGTGACGCCAGAATGACGGCCGGAAAGCACATCTCGGTGGGACAGAATGACGCTTCAGCCCTTGACCGAAAACAACGATGTGCCCCGTAGAATTGCACTCAAGGGGACCCCTTTACCGGAAAGAAGGGTCTCATATAGAAATAAGGGGTCTCATTAGAGCTGAATAGAGTGGGTCGAAATGAGTTCAGAACGCCAAGGCCACTCCATGTTCCCCTGGGGACGTTCATCATTTTGCAGAATTAACTAGTGAAACAAATACCATCAAAACGTTCGAACATACTCGCCGGGTACCGATAGTGTAAGTGTTTACGCGCCTGCGTTAACTACTCCGTATCCGGGAAACCACAGGTATGGGTTCGATTCCCAGGGTGCCCGCCTTTCCCATCAGGGTGAGAGGCTGGCGGCGACGCGATTTAACCCCAGCAGCTAAGTGCATCATAAAGCCCTAAGGACACCCCACAATCTCGGGGAGCAAGGATAGCGATGGCTTGCGTCGCAGTTTTAGTAAAGCCGAGCGGCGTTGGCCGCTGCAAGTGATGTCAGGAGACAGGGGCCGAGAGCGCGACAATGGTTATCGTAAAATAATGTTTCTTAATGTCTTTCGAATTAATCCGTGCAGTTCAATGACAGCACTGGGAGAGTCTTTTTTAAAACTTTGAGGATGTCCACTGGGCAGGTTAACAGTTACAACAACACGGAAAATAGACTTTACCTTCCTCTCCCAGTTCCACCACCAGCTTCCAGCACCACTTCGCGTTGCTGTGAGGACTAACGCGTTATTGTCATCAATCTAAAAACCGCACTTGTGATATATACGCTCGGAATATCTCGTGGGGTACAATTTGGTGTCCAAAAGCCTTCAAAGGCACTTTTTCAGATACATCGCCATTTTTACCTGCCTGTTGGTCACGGCCTACTGTTAGCCCCAGGGCAAACGCTGCGCAGCCTAGGGAGACTGCAACGCTTCGCGTCGAGTTTTTTGTTGCCAAAATATGCGAGCGCGGATGCTCAAAACTACGTTATATTATTTGTTCTACTGATCAATTCTGACTGAATGTTGAACATATCCAGACAAACATGGCTAGGCCATGCTGAAACAAATCGTTGAGCCATTTTGATCTTCAAACTGCACTCGCGGAATCCTTGCTATTTCTGTGCAACCCAGATAAGAATTTTAACAAAACTTCTGAGTTCTATCAGTTTAAAAGAGTTCACTGGACCGTTGTAAAATAAAGGGCACTGGCGATTTATTTATTGCGGTCATTTAACGCATGATCAGCGCCTATGCCATATCCTAGTAAAAGAAGGTAACAATGTGCAATATATATATATATATATATATATATATATATATATATATATATATATATATATATATATGTGTGTGTATATATATATATAAACATGTACATAAATCCGCATATATATATATATATATATATATATATAATTTATCTGAAAAACATGCCCTCTATAATAAATGGACTATATCCGGCGATTTTTGGTGGGCCCTTTTACTGTCAGGGGGCCCTTTGTCAACCCTGTGCCCTCCCCTCGCCAAGGCTCTGGCTACGGACCTGCTTGGTTTCGAGGCGCCCGCAATTTTTTGCCGTGGGGAAGTCTGGGGAAGATGCGGCAGTGTGTAACAAGATATAACAATCTTGCATGCAAGGTAAGATGCAGCCGAGACCGAAACAAAGTGCGCACAGCTAAATGTATTGCAACAGAACGCGCAGTTTGAACAGGACCACATTCCCAATGACTACAGATCGTACCCCATGGGAGCGGAAACTATGTCCAAGTTGGGGGCAAGTATCACAATGCACAAAAGTGCTCCCTGAGATTAGATTGTGGGTCCTTACAAACTCGCAATGGCCGTTTGATAATGGGCGCTCTACTGGTCAGAAAAGGCCCTGCGCGTGTAAGACCGGGCCATCTGTAGGACAAAATAGGCCCTCTGCAGGTCAGAATGGGCCCTCCACAACCAATAATGACCCCAAAGAATTGAAGCCGCTCTTGTACCACACAGCTGATCAATCTGAAAAAGAATGAACCTCCTCCATACTTAGGACGAGCCTTCGGACTTCCGGGAAAAGGCACTGTGGATATGTGCGGACCGCAGCAGCGTCGTGTTTCATCGCGTCTGACAGCGCGCAACAACTTTTAGGCGTAATCTGTTCAGCTTCTCGCCAATATACCGCGAAAGGATGCGGCTTGCATTGCGGTGCGATGCAATTGCCGACCTTCGTCGTGAACGGCGAAGGTGTGGTTTTCTGAAGTCTAAAATGATCAAAATTTCGTTCTCGGCCAGACGTTTTAAAGGTCAACGAAAAATTGACTCTGGTGCTAAGCCATTAAGTGATGTGTGGTTACCGCAAATATGGCTGCTGACAATTTGGTCAAAAATTCATTCATTGGCAGACCCAGTTCAGGTAAAGTACAGCGGTCGGTCCTCACATACCGGCTAAATCTGATTTCGTTGACCGAATCGAAAATGTTCTCTGCTTGCGCATTTATTGTATCAATCAAAAATGACTGTACACCGTCCTTAACGCAGACAATTATCACACTCCTGCACCACGCTGCATTCCCTATCAACATCACACACGGTGTGACTCAGTTAATCGACATGTTGCAGGCCAAGATATCCAACCACCAGCTTTGCGTTCTGGTGATAAAAGCACGCACAAGCCGCGTGAGTGCCGCTGCTACCCAGCAAAACGCAGTGTGCGTAGGATAATAGTCTCACGTCTGCGTAAATTTTCTCTAAAGTGCCTCAAGCTTTGGTAGCATTTATTACGGATGCATTTTGAAAAATAAGCGTGCTGCAAACATTACAGTACATACCCGTCGGAAAAAGCAATGCAAACGAGACATTACTTTAATAGAGATGCACAGGGAACCCAGTGAGATTTGCCCCGCAGAAGTGGCTACGTCAAATCAAAATAATAATCTTTTCAGGATTTCAAGAAAAACTGGCATAACCTTTCAAATCGGACGTGCCTGATCTGAAAGTGAGTGACAGCACATAAAAGGCGACATACTCCTTCTAAACCCCGCCGTACTCCCGTTGTGTGCATCCAAATGGATCGGCAACTGGTTTGAGCGTTCCAACGCCGCAAGATACCAACACCACCCGGCGCCGCAGCGGACAATGACACTAAGCCCTATCACTGGGCCTTTGACCTCTAAGTCGCTCCACATGAACAAGAGACACCACCGTCACGGTACGCCTTCACCTCCCCATCCCTGCTTCAATTGCCCCGGGCTCGACGGTACACATATGGGGGGGGGGGGGGGGGGGGGGGGCGGCCGGCAGCGACGGTGCACCGCGTACTCGGCGTGCATCACACATGATTCGTCGGTGCATGAACCATGTCTTTCCGAGCCGATAACCACCTTCTGGGTTTTAGAATTTTGAGGAACAGCCTACTCTTTCGCATGCAAATGAGAAAAAGATAAATATCACACGGGAAAATCGTTCTTCGTGCTCTGTAAAATTTCATAATGCCCTGACCTGATTAAGCCTCGAGTAATAACGTTCTCAAGTCGTATACAAATATTCAAGACAGTTGTATGACCATTGTAACGTATACGTTTACCGAATTATGTTTCCAGCAAGTGGAAAAATTATCTTCGAAGGTATATCCGCAAACATACAACTTAAATTACCGAAGGCTATAGCTCCGAAACGGTGCGACCGACACTTCACAAAATATCACCAGCGAGTTCAGCACGGATGACAACCCCTGAGACCTGATGCGATGAAAATCCGAGGAATGTGGGCGTAAGGCGCTCGATTCATCGTGGAATATCCCGACGAGCCGACTCAGCTCGCGGCTCGCCCCAAAACGACTGGCTCATAAGCCAAGTTATGATTTAGCTCGAGTCGAACACGAGCCTACCCCCTGATGTTACAACCCGCCATGTGGCGTCATATCGTCTCCCCATCACGCAACGCTTTTTTGACCATGAGAAGCCCAGGTGAACCAGCACCCACTGCTCTTGGACAACAGATCTCACTTTCCATGATCGCGTCCGCTCCATTGGCTTCTTTACAAAATAGTTTTGCCATTTACGGCCAAGTTATACTGTGGATTATGTACCACATGACAGTGCAACTCCACGAATGCCAAGTAGGCCACTTCAAGTTGCTCTGCGCTCATAGTGATGTCCAAACGATGAAATTATTGGAAATAACATCAATTGAAACATGTATTCCAGCCCTTACATTCCCTCGCTCCCATGACGAAATGTGTATCCTCTCTCTACATCCCTAATGAGGACGAGCCTTGTCGGACGGTTGTTCGCCATCACCGCGTAGAAAACTTGCGTATTTCATACAAACTTCATGATATAACGATGACAAAGCCATAGATGGGCTAACGATATGCAACAGCAAGTTAAGGTTTTTGTTGCGGTTGCACGATTGCACGACGCATGCTGCGTTGGTCACCTCAGCGCCCACAGCGCCAGCTGGAGGTCGAACCACGTCTCCCACGTGTAACCCATCACACTCGCCACTAACATGTTTTGCCCGTTCCTAACATGCAATATTCTGCATTCATGCATCGTGCGGTTGTTTGGCCGCCGCTTACAAAAGTTTAAAGAGCCGGTGGTTGGCCAATCCTACAGTGCCATGACGCAAGACCACGTGAAAAAGTTTAAAGAGCCGGTGGTTGGCCAATACCGTCCCTTACTTTTCACGCGGTCTTGCGTCATAGCACAAGCCGAGTGTACGGTAAACAATATGAGTGAATATTAGCCAGCGAGACGAATTTTAAATCTACTGCGTTGTTAGGTCGTTCCAACAAATCTTCCTTTTAATCAACACGTCTGCTGATTTCAAGTTTCGGGAAGAAACAACAAGAAAGCGGGTAACTTTGTGTATTGAGAAGACTTCAAATAAAGCTTAGTCCTCGTTTTCATCACCCTCCTCTTCCTCATCATCGAAGCTGAAGTACTTGAGCTCGTACGAGTCCTTGGAACTGGCAACCACGCGCAGGTAATCTCGCAGGCTGTTCTTCTTGAGGTACTTCTTGGTCAAGTACTTAAGATACCTGAAAAGGTGCAAAAACCTTAGAGCATTTCACACCGGTCTTGGGACGCGTAACACAGGCAAAACACGGGCAAAATCTGCCGCTGAGGCCGCCCATCTTCAGATGAACAACACATGCAAAATCGGGAGCTGACGCCGCCCAGTATCTGCTCTGAGGCGTAGATACTAGTGTCACTAACAGGAAGGCACACAGTTACTTCAACGACACTAACCAATCCACAACTTAAACCACTGAGTAGCGTCTAGTATGGCCACGTAAAATCAGACCGTGGAACTAAAGTAGGAGAGCTTCACGGAAACCATTGTTCCGGCTATCGCCCTGGTGTGTTGTGTTAGTAACTAAACAACATCTCGGCCAGTCGTCATCAGCAGAATGACCATCCTTCCCGGTTTGCTTGGTGGCCGAGCGCTGGGCCCGTGATCAGAAGACCTAAATTCGATTCTCAGGTCAAAACTCAGGTCGTGGCGTGGCAATGGACGAAAGCTGAGCACCATTCAGTCCTTCTCAGGACTTAGTAATATTCTGGCGACGGTTGGAGAATCTACTGGCCGAAACGGTGCGTGAATATTAACACCACGCATGGACGATAACCTTAACATTATCCGGTCCGTGATAATACCCTGTGCCAATCCATTCGCAAAACTGGGAGGAGGGAACGACCTTTGGAACGATTGTAAAACATTACCAAGCGAGCTCATTTCATCAAACAACACTTAAAAGAGCCAACCCACCGGAAAAAAACGCAGGGCAGCAACGACATATCTCGCAGTATATTGTGAAAACTGGAAAATATGCCTACACAGAGTGCGAAGCTGAAAGTTATGCAAGTTGTGTTCGTTTAACTGGAAGTGAAATGTCTAAATTCGGATAATTGGAGTCACTCAGCCCCGTGCGAAATACAGGACATGGTACTACACTATAAAAGGTCATGGTACACACACCTCTCCCAAAAAAATGATATGCACACGTAACAGCATCAGGGCGTAAATTATCCAAAAACAAGCACCATAGTTTCGCGGATATTTGTGGCCAGGTGTTGGGGCGGAGATAGCACGATTTCCTTTTTTTCTTGTCCACAATGTCATTCACGTGCAGTTCCGACCAGTAGCCTTTCCAGACGCCGTCAAGTGTTGGATGGACCTCACGCTAGATGCTCGGTATATTATCATGTTCGTCCGCATCGCAGCGTCGAAAATCTTGGAAGCCATAAGATTCGTACACACCATCTTTCAATTTTTAGCCCAAAACGCTGGCGTACGTGAGAACCACATTATCTTTGTAAATAAGCCAGGTAGCGATTTCACTTTATTCTTCTCAGACGCAATCTGGAAAATCACTTCCACAAAAAATGACGTCATTCCTGCGTACCGTCCGTGCAGGCTATGCCACACTGAAACGGAACCCTACTAAAACCAACTGAAGCTCGGTCCCAAACCCATACAAACGTGGAGCGTTTCTCTATGCTTTCGGACGGTCGCCGATAACCTGCCTTTACGAAGCAACTGGTCCAAATGCAAAGTGGGAGGGTGTGAGTGTGTGGGCGGAATGTTGCGCCTGCATCAGTTTTGGGTGAAACAGCTGAAGATGGACACGCGTCATATCAAGATCAGATTGCTTGCTTGGGGATCCGTCAAGCAATAACACTAAATACGTGTACAGCCCCTTCCTTCACCCAAATGCTGCTCCATGTATATCTAAACCTTCACCGACCTGGACACGAGGTTCCGAAACGTCGCAATAATACTATGCAATAATGAGGACAAGGGGTCCGCTGCTGACTACCCACTGGTGATGACCTCGAAGAAGCAATAAGGGATCGCTCCCGCGTGATCGCCGAACTCTTCGCGCTATATTTGTAACTCACCACCCCAAGATTGATGTTGGTCCACAATTTCCCATGAGCGAGCCATCCAAAAATCCTGAGGTGAACTTTTTGGAGAGAATATAGGACTGAAATATGATACGCCTGACGTCTGCGAAAATAACGCCGGATGAACAGTGAGTGACGTGTAACCCCGAGTACATGTCTGTTCATGCCATAGGCGGCATGTTGAGCAGTAGGGCAGACATGAAATGGAATGCTACACATCGAAGATATTGAAGCAACCATCAGATAATTTCAAAACTAGCTAACTTAGAACTATTGGTGTAGTCTTAGCGGAAAAGATTGCTCTAGTCAACACAATTTCTCCATTTGGTTAATATGCTGTTCAATAAGTCATGATTTGATTAGGTCATCGTGCCTTGCACAGCATTGATTGGGGGCCAATTGACGGCCGTCATATCTGGAAATCGTGCTCACGAAGGCCAGATATGAATGACTCAACAATTATATTCTCCTTGGTCTTGATTGCCGCATGGATCAAGGAATGACATGATCTGAGTGACGCCTGCTAAATGAATGCATGGATGAACTCTGGATGTCTGTAAGACCTTGCAATAATCTCCCCAACATAGTCTGCACGTCTTCGTGGGCATGTGCATCTGCACATATTCGGAGTGAGCTACATCTCCGCGAGTTAGAACGGGAGGCGATTCGGTGCTGCACTGTGCCATTTGGGGTCACAGTCGGAACAATTCTCACGTGCTTCAAGTCAGATTGTGAATGGAATCTGCTGAAACAGAAGTGTGCAACCGGCGAGCCTGAGACTATACACTATGTGAGACTGCAGACCAGCTGCATAATGCATAATACTGCACGGTAAGTGGCGTGGCGGGAACAATTTTTCGAAGTTGGATACCATCTTGCAACCAAACAAACCAACGATGGACGATGAGTTCATCGGAGCTATAAGGAACGAAACGCAGCGCATAGCGTCGAATATGTACGGTACAGCAAATCAGAGGCAAATTTCTGCACTATCACCACGCAGATCTCGGATAACGGCATCATAAATCAGCGACTTTATAAAGCGCCATGTTGAGATTTCAGGACAAGTATATACAAGCTAAGGTATATACAAGCTCTGAGCTCAACCCCTCTGAGCTCCATCACATCCAACCCAACGGGTTGGGAGGACCGCGAAATGCCCACTGAGGTCGAAGCGTCACTGAATCCCCATACCATCAGCGATGCTCCAAAAACTGAAGGAGCTCGTACCGATCGGGTTGCACAAGCTTTCCATGGGTGTCCACATGCTGGCGAGAATATTTCCCGGGACGGAGGACATGACACATATAACACAGTTACAGTCGAAGAAATCAACGTGAGTTCTCGGAGAAAAGTCAAACATCGACGAACGCGTATCGCAGACCGTCACCTTTTGCCCATCTTGATGTCATTGGAGGCGCTGACGGTTATCTTGCTCTTGGCCCTTTCAATGTGCAGATTCTTGCCAAAGTTCTTGGTCTTGCCATTCACTTTGATCCGCTCTTGAAGGAACTTCTCCTGAGAATAGTAACATGGCGTTTAGGGAAGGTGGCCCTAAACCCATCTTAGGGAAGATAGCCCTAAGATTCTGTTACCTTCCCTGTAGGAGAAAAAAGCGAGTTAGTACACGTCCATGCATACCGTATAATCCCTTACAGATCGTGTCAACATTCCCATCAATCACATTACATCTTACACAACAGAGTGAGCGGTCTGAACGAATATTCCTTCCAAAGACAACGTCTCGGGCACTAATCGCCAGTCAAGTCAACAAAATCACAACAGGGCATTGGAAAAAACAATGTCCGGATGGCTCGCATCCGTCACTTTGGCAGATCGTATTGTTGTGTGTGCGAGCCCTATGCAGCTCCTGCCATTCGTAGTAATATCGGTATTATGGGTCAGACGGCAAGGTTGTTTGCTCGCAGCCAACTGATGTTGATCACAAGTGTGGCGCGAGCCCGCTACTCATATATTTTGATCCATCTCTGGCCTACTGACACCTATGTGAACCCCAGGTGACCTTTTGAGCCGCACGAATGGTGCGAAACAATCGTCAAATCTCGCCTTCTCAGGCCAGATGTCCGCGAACTGCCATATGCACACTCGGTCCCTATGGTTCGCCCTTTTGCACTAAGAAACCAGTGCAAATGGATCCCGATCCTTTTTTGACGTTATTCCTCGTAGGCGGGAGCCGTCCATAAATATGTGTGCGTGCGTGCGTGTGTGTATGCGTGCCTGTGTGTGGTGGGGGAGGGGGTTATGGAGCAGAACTGAAACATTGGAGCATATTGCCATTGCAATAAAAAGCTTAGACATGGTTGCGGACCATGCCGATTAACAACATGCAACAGCAACCAGCAGAGGGGGCATACCACCCGGCATAAAATATTTTTACAAATCATTAACACACCATCACCATTCATTGAACAGTCACACATAACGTCTAAACCTAGAAAGCCAGCCTGTGGTTTGAGTCCCAAACTTCATTACAGGATCGCACCAATGTTTCGCAACCTGGTCTGAAGACTGGGATCGTCGCGAGTCGAGTCCTCTTCGAGACCAAGCCGAACCAATCGGACACTCACGAAGTCAGAAGCCTGCATAAGCCCATCCTCGACAGGGTGCGTGCAGTCGATGGTGAACTTCACTGTCTCTGCCTTCTTCTTGCCCTTCCCCTTGGCCGGACGGCCCTTCGCTGGCGCCTGGAACTGAAAGGACCAACACAAATTGTAATGAGACAACCACTTTCAACCACTTTCATATGCTGGCGCTGAGACCTCAAGCAGGGAAACAACTTATAATGAAACAATCATTTTATTTTTGAAATATCCAGACATGTGCAAAACGTGTGTTGCCAGTCGGGCTCCAAGGTATTCCCCACATAAGGCGTGGACTTCCAACTGCTCCCAAGCATCTGCATCAGGTCTGTCCATAGAAGCAATATTTTTGCCAATGAAGATGTGGATATCTTTGAAACACTATTGTCATCCCAGATAGGGCCTACTCCCCTCATACATGATCAGCCAATCGCCATGGAGCCAAGAAACCCAGTGCCCAGGCTCCTCTGGCTTGGCAAATCAGGAGGGCACAGCAGGGTGCCAGGCTTCAGACACAGGATAACTGATGGGCAGCCAATGAACTGTGTGGTGTGGGCAGATGTGTTCAAGGATAAAGAAGTTCGACAGCACAAATTTATATTTGCATCCTCCACGCCCCAATGGACATACTTTTGAACCATGAATCCATCATGTGTGTCATGTCATTGGGGCTTTATGACGCACTCAGCTGCTGAGGCTATATGGCATCACCTGCCTCTCACCCTGGCAGGGAGGGCGGGCACCGCAGGGGATCATACCCCGTACATCTGGTTTCCCAGACATACAGTCACCATCACAGATGTGTTAACCTGTACACCACTGGCACCCCACCACCAATCTGTCCAACACACATAGGGCGGTCCAAGCTAAGCTGTAAAACTTGATGTCACCATCCTGTAGCACAAGCAGAAGGCTTGGGGCACAGGATAATCACTGTTCCATGCTACCAAATGACTCACATGGTATTAAATGACTCATTAATCACAAATTTGAAAGCACACCCAGCCATCAAAAACCAGAGAGCAAGTGTTAGAGCTTTGCAAAAACAAATAATTGTGCCAGTCTGAAACATTTGATGCAGCAGTGAAATCCCAGTGCCTGAAATGCTGACAATGGCTCTGTGCTCACAGTATTTCAGTCAGGAATGATGGTAGGTTCAGCAACAAAATCCCAAAGATCACCTGTTTTGAATGCTGAAAAAATACATTTGCTGGTGTGCTGCATGCTGGGGTATTTGATACTCCAGGATCCTAACAGGTTAAAATACAGCACTGAACATTGTGCTGAGCAAAAACTAAATGACAACAATGTTGGGAGAAATCAGCCTGTTCACATTTGTTTTAAGGAGAAAACAACCATTAATGAGGTGATATGGGGTAGGATAAGAAACCTACAGCCTGAAGCAGATACTGGCCTAAAAGCTTGTGAACAGGAATACCCTGTATCCATGTGACCTAGCTATAGTGAGAAGCATCAAAAAGTAGGAACACCAAACGACTGTAACTGTTGAAACATTTTGCTACAACTAATGCATACATTTTTGGGTAAAAAGCAAAATGGACGAATGCTGAATAGCGCCATCATTGAATGATATCAAGGGACAAGATCCAAACAGTACCATCATTGGGCAGAGAGACAGCAGCTCCACTTCCCATGTCACATGGGTGTAAATAAGCCAAGGCCTCACCAAGACCAACATGAAGAGCAACACTCCATGAAGAGCTGCACTTATTGTGGGGCTTAGAAAATGCAATAATGTTCCACACAAATTTAATACACATGTCTCTATTCAACACTGTATGATTTAGGGCATTAGCATGCACACAATAAAATCTGTGCACTTGAAGCATTCAACATTACCAAATACCTTTGAGCTTCGTGTGACAAGTTGCTGGATCACAGCTCTCACCTCAGTCGAAAGATCAGTTTCCTAGTAAGTGGTTGGAGTACATAATACAAATTTTCCATCTATATATGATTGCAATAATTTCATGCACACCAAGATGTATTTCCCTTCCATCAGCAGAAAATCTAGCCATTGGTGCTGACACCAAACAAAAGGATAGGCAGCTCTATTACCATGCAATTGTGTTGCAGAATCCTCCTTACATACAAGAATACCTGGTAAAAATTACTTGTTCAAGTGCATAGTTATTCTTTGGGTGCAAATACAGGACTACACACATACTCATTTCAAGGCATTCAAGATTGCCTACAACACACAATTAACTTTCCATTTCACCAGCGGTTCTGTACTAGCAGCACATGCAATTTAAGAAATGTATAGATAGTGGTCTTTATAAATTTTTGGTTTGTCATTTCTGTGATTGCCTGGAACACTCCCAAGTCCCAAGACCACTGCATGAAGGACCTTTCCATCCATTGATATTGCAAATACTGGGCATTTTTCAGTCTTTTAAGCATCTCTTATCAAGAAGACTAGGAACTACAACTGGTTTACACACTGGCCAGCAATGGCAGACTGTGAAAAGCTGAAATGGGCTAGGCCATAATCAAAGTTTGATTTAGAAGGGCATGTCCAGTCCAAACTGGGCTAGATTGGACTGCCATGAGCAATCTAGTCCATACTCAAATCCTAATTTACAAGGACAGGTCTGATCCAAACTAGGCTGGATTCGACTGTTATCAGCAAGCAGCTGGTAAAGGCCTACCACAAAGACATAGTCCATTCTCTTCAGTTACATTCCATGTTCCCACCTGGCAACCTGAGCTGCATTAGATAGACCTGCAGCAATCAATCCGCACTTCACAAACGGCAGTCCAAATTTGATGCGCACTTCATGGCAACACAGAATGTGCCAACTCACAGCAATAATACAGCAGTAGGTATCAGCTGGCAACTAACTGCACTGCAACCTCAGTCACACACACATGCCACTGGTATGTATGGTGACTGGCATGATACCAGTCACCAAATTTCCATTGTTCAAGATGTGAATGAGGGGAGAGGTAGTTATCTTGTTTCTTGCTTAGCCTGATATAGCTAAGTGCCTATCCACATCAGCTCAACTTTACCATTAGTTTGTGACACAGATCACATTGGTGCTATAAACCTGTAACATTGTATAAGTAAACTCAAACACCTTTTTTCCAGAGTTTTTCAGAAACCTTCTCTCTGAACCCCGATCACACATCAGCCTGATGTCCCAGGTGGTGTAGTTTTGTACATAACTTTGTGGGGCAGGCAAGCAGAGAAATCTTGTATCCCAAACAAATGGTGCAAACCATGCTCTCCCTAATTTAGCCCAAGTTTTTTTTCTAAAACTTGGGGAGGGGCTAGCATCCTCCCAACTAGATCAAGAACTAAACATTTGTTCCCAAATTAAGTACATCTAGGTCCATAAAAGCCTATGCAGGAATCATACTGCCCCATAATCTTTCCTCAGGGTGAGATTGTACCTTGGCTAGAATGTAGCTGCGCTAACTGCCATACCCTAGATGCCCCTATTTACATTGTGGCTTGCATGACACTTCAATTGAAAACTTGACACGTGCTCCAGGGAATGACGCAACAAGTGCACAACATTCTAAGTATCTGCTTTTATCAGCCTTTATTGGGATTGACACCTTTAAATATAATCATCAAAATCAACAGCTTTCTATCAGCTTCATAGTTAAAAAAATACAGTAGGTGTGAGCATAGACTTAGGAGGGAAACACTTAGGAAGTAAGGAAATTTCAGAATTGCAAGCACCAATCTCTAATGGGCTTTGGCAATGACTGAAACCAGCTAGAGCATGGTGTTTATTGTCACCTGCTGCCAAAGAATACCCTTAAGTGCCAGCTGTGAATGGAGTGTGAATTCACTTGGGTTATTTCATTCTCACTACAAGCCATGATTTTAATATTTTTGTTCTCTTCTCCAAGAGTCACATCCAAATTTCAGAAACTGTCCACGCATGGCACGCATATGCTCAATACTTTTTTACACCCATGAGTGGCACTTTTGTTCAAGAGGATGCTATAGGGTAACAAGCTTAGAGAGGGGAATAATATTACATGGATAAATGGCATAGCCGAGGAGGCGTTCGCAAGAAAACGCAACGCTACTTCTCCTTCAAAGCAGATTTTTTGATGTCTTTGCAAACAGTGACGGAAACATTTTCGTGAACAGGTTAAACCAAATGATACTAAATATCAAACAATACCTTGCCCATAGTTGTGCAACACCCAAACGCTTTCGCCACCGGCTGCAAAAGGACGCAATTCTGGACATTTAGAGAAGTCTCTGGATATATTTTATAAAACTAAGCTTCATAAAAATATTTTAAGATAAAATTACATTGAATAATACAAACCAATGAAAAATGAACTTCAATAATAGTCTGCATTTTAAATTATGGCTTTAATGACATGCTATACTTGAAGAAGTTGGCTCAGCTCTCGGAATACCCTACCCATTACTATAAAACGGCCTTTTTCCGGTGGCTCTCGCCATTGTGGGTGTTGCGGTTGCTTCGTACGTGGATCGAAGCAAAACTAGCAAAAATGGTAAGTCTGCGTCCGTCTGCGCCTGGTCTAAGACTTCTCATATCGCATGGGAGCTTCACTATTCTTGGTTGTATTGCCGAGGAGTCCGTGTTTTGGTGTTTTGTTTCACCTTTCTATTTGTAGGCGAAACTGACGCTCACCAGCTGGCGGCTTTGTTGTGCGACTTGGATGGTGCGTTGGTGGATTTTTATGATTGGTATCTTGATAACTTTCTTGTGTTCGGATTGTGCATGATCATCTTTGTCTTGTCACGATATCTGCTTACTCTTTGACTTCAGCAAAGGTTAGGGAACTGTCTGTTGGTTAATTGATGACTAGTGCTGTTTGGTACAACAAATTAGTTTCATGCCTATAAAAATCGTGTTAAAGAGGCTGGATGTGCCTGCCATTTTAGACTGAGTGGTAAGCTGCATACAGGGATTGTCAACATTGCTATTGTTTTTGAATGGAAGATATGGGCTAACGCCATGTGGAGGTATAGGTGCTTGGCAGCATTTCATTAAGGTGCCTGTATTTTGGATCTATAGCATGTATTTGGGCCTGGTCTTCAAACTATTTCAAGTTTAGATGAGGTCTGGTTGGGCTAGAGGTTGGTAGAGAACAACTTCCAATTTGTGGGGGCCCATCCAAATGCAACAGAAACTGAATTGGAACATCAAGGATATCATAGTGTTTTATGTAATTCAGAAGAGTATATAAAGTGACCAGGTCAGAAAAGTTACATTTCAGGAGATATCAGTTAACCAAAATATGCTATAAGTAGAGTGACATACTACCCCTTTGGCCACAGATTTCATCCACCCCAAACATTTTTCAACATGTTGGCCATGGTGTGTGGACTAGACTCTGACCACACCAGGTTTATCTTGAATCATGTCTTTATGAAATATAACATGGTCAGCTCATTAAAAGTAGGCAATTTTGTCAGAGATTTAATTCATGAGGCAGTTGACCTTAGCAGTGCCATAATGATACGTCATATTGCTTTGTCATGACACCTGGTTTTGTCACATGATAACAGGAGATACAGTTGCATTACTTCATCATGATGCATGGTTTTGTCATGTGGTAACAGGGGATACCAAAGTTCCATATTTTGGGGCAAATCCATCCTTGGGCTTAATAGTTGACATAGAGTCTTGGGGTTGCATGATCATGTACAGACATATGTCTGTCTCATCATTTGCTATTTAGAAGTCAGTTTGTGGCAAGTTAACAGGGAAAAATATTAACCATTCTTGACTTTGCAAAAATTAGTCAGTCAGAATGTATTTTGTGTCAGAATGGATATGTTGCCCCTGACAGGTGAATCTGATATTCAACAATTATGCTGAATGATACTTGCTGGTGAAGTCATCACTCCAGTTTTTTGTTTGCAAAGTAAAATGTGATAAATAAGTCAGTAAGTAGTCCTGTATGCAAAGTTGAAATGTTTCAGCTGCTGGATTATGGTGCTCCAGTGTCACTTCATGCCCAAGCTGTTCAATAATGGTCAAGTGATCATAGGTTTAAGAAATTGGTTTTAACCAGAAAATATTGTAGTCATCTAGCAACAGGGGCTAAGCTGTAAGTCTGAAGTTAAAATAATAGCAGCCCTAAGTGGGGTGTCCTACATTTCAGGCATATTTCAAAAGCATTTGGTGAAAAACCTGAGGACCAGTTACACATAACAATAACACTGGATAGCTGCTGCAGCACAATTAGATAATAATACTATCAGTTTTGATTATTTTTATGCCAAATACATCTGTCAATGCTATGCTTCAGCACCATGCTTCTTCCCTGCAGTTTTGAGCAACATTATCATGAAAACCACAGAACACAGGTGTACTAGTGTGAGTGAAAGAATGTTTGTGGTTGGGCCAACTGGGCTGGGCAAGGGTCTGCTTCTGAGAAGTGCATTGGTTGAAGTTTGAACCAGTGTCACATGGGTCATATGACACTCTGGCTTCCAAAGGCAGTGTGTCTTGAAGAGAGCCTAGCTTCATGTTCACATTTATTTTTGTCTAAGCAGTGTTTCAAACTTTTGTAGCAATGCTTGGAAATGCTGCCAAGCAATTACAAAATTTGTTATGTCCTCTTGATACACATGTGCTGCTTCATGTGCCACTAGCAATGTCATGTGTGTTTGTGGCCAGTCTTTCTTTATAGGGAGGAGTACATCATCCTGACAGACTGTCTAGGAGATCTGCAACACTGTTTATGATTCAATGTGAAAGTCATAAAAACACAACTTTCTGGAAAATATTTTGAGCTTCCACATTGAACTGTCACATTTTGAATCAGTGAGTGATGAGGATTTTGGGATGGTCATGGTTTTTCCAAGTTGTTTACAAATATTTTCCAAGTTGTTGTGACATTGGCAAACAATCAAGATGTTGGGCAGGAGAGGTGTCTTCCTTTGACCTTGAATTGATTGAAAAGTTTACCATGCATGCAGCACAGCCTTGTTTCATTGTAACTCCTGACCCTTTTCTTATTTGTTACATGTAGGGTACAGCTGGTTTTAATTTAGTTCTCATTCCTTTATTATTTATGGAAGGCCATCACCAATTGACTCAACAGGAGTATCCAGGTAATCCTTAGTCATGCATGTGATGTTTTCCAAGGCTTGGGTCCAGGTCTATGAAGAACCAGGTGTTTTTGGAACAGCACACACATGCAATTCATTTTTATTGTGAACCAATCACAAGTTGGCTGAGTTGTATTCAAGAATAGGCTGTGCACTGTGCATGCACAGAAAGTGCTGTGTGGATAGGGGCATGCAGGGTATGGCAGTCAGTTGTGTTGTCATTGTGTGATTAGTTGGCTTAGGTTCAGGTAATACATGCCATTTTACATTTCCCCCATGTGACTAACTTTTCATCAATGAATCTTGGGTACACCTGTATGCTTGGAACTTTCATTGTTTGTATTTGTATTGGTGGTATTTTCTTTTCCATTTTGTTCTGTCAGTATCAGGCCTGTAAGACAGAACATTATAAATCAAAATAATAAGAGTATTTGTTTGAAATAGTGTTTTCAGTTTTTCATTTTGTTCTTGTAACACTGGGTACTGAAAGCACAAATCTTTTGTGATCTTAGCATGCTGATAAATGAGTATCTTGTACCCACCCATTAGAAAAGTTAGACATTTTTTGTTTGTTTTGGCATTTTACAATTGCCAACTGAGGAGGTATGAACTAGGCTTGAGTTGCGTATTCTTGTCATTGTACATTTTACTATCTAGAAGATGAGGCAGAACTGGAGCCATATTTGTTGGTTTGTGTCTGCTCTGTTGCCCACTGCAAAGTTGGATGGTTTCAAGCACTGGGCATGTGTCCAATGTCCCAGATTGCTCAAATAGAGGCAAGCCTGGGATAAAGGCAAAACAAATTGAAAATGATTTACCCTGCCACTAATTACACCTTTTCTCCACAGGTGAACTTTACTGTAGCCGAGATCCGTAACCTTATGGATCTCAAGAAGAACATCCGGAACATGTCCGTGATCGCCCACGTCGACCACGGCAAGTCGACGCTCACGGACTCGCTGGTGGCCAAGGCCGGCATCGTGGCGGCGGCCAAGGCCGGTGAGACCCGCTTCACCGACACCAGGAAGGACGAGCAGGAGCGCTGCATCACCATCAAGTCGACGGCCATCTCCCTCTTCTTCAACTTGGAGCCCAAGGATGTGCCATTCATCCAGGGCGACACGCAGAAGGAGAAGGACAACGACGGCTTCCTCATCAACCTGATCGACTCCCCCGGCCACGTCGACTTCTCGTCGGAGGTGACGGCCGCGCTGCGTGTCACCGACGGCGCCCTGGTCGTCGTCGACTGCGTGTCCGGTAAGTGGGTGGTGTTGGGCCGTCACTTTTCGCTGTGATGTGTAACAGGTCAGTGGTGCTGTAGCCACCAATGGTCCCCGAAATCCGCCCAACGATGGTTATGTGGGCGAGTGCGATACGACCCTTGGCGTGGTGAGTTAAGGATTATGGTTGTGTCAGTGGCATATCCAAATCTTGATGTTTTGATGACTGATGACACAAAAAGGAAATACTTATGCCTCCCACATGTCTCATTTATCCATTCATTTGCTAGGGCAATCAAGCACAGTATGGTTAAGCACAGTTAGTCTATATAGGCAAGGATAGGTATGTCACAAAATACAGCTAGGATTTTTTATTTTAGCAAGTAAGCCACTTTAGCATTCCACTCCAATGGCATCTTGAGTTTAGGCTTTCTGCCACAGCACATGAACACAGTTGGTTGGGACACTTCTTCCGTAGGTTATGCCGAATGTGTTCCTCCCAGTGACTGGCCATTTCGTGCGGTATTGCATATCCTTGTAATCTTCTGGGTTTGAGTGGAATGAGAAGGCACCCGGATGTTGCACAAATAACATGTATGTGACGATGTCAGAACTTACACCACAAAGACTACAGCAACCCAAAGCCAAAGAGTGCGTGAAAGGCACTTGTCATAACCAGATAACTACATGAAATAATGTAGTGCGGTGAAATTTAATGACTGCTGAAGGCGTCCCACTGGAATGGGTGCATTGATCGATCCCTGCGTTACGTCTGCGGACTGTGCATGCCGCGATCCTTTGGATGGCCGCTGTAGCGGGCCAGCCTCGTTGCAGGTGTGTGCGTGCAGACGGAGACGGTGCTGCGCCAGGCGATCGCCGAGCGCATCAAGCCGGTGCTGTTCATGAACAAGATGGACCGTGCCCTGCTGGAGCTGCAGCTGGAGCAGGAGGACCTGTACCAGACCTTCCAGCGCATCGTGGAGAGCGTCAACGTCATCATCGCCACGTACTCGGACGAGGACGGACCGATGGGCAACATCCAGGTCCACCCCTCTCGTGGCTCAGTTGGATTCGGCTCCGGCCTGCACGGCTGGGCCTACACTCTGAAACAGTTCGCCGAGATGTACGCGGACAAGTTCAAGATCGATCCGGTCAAGCTCATGCCCAAACTGTGGGGTAAGTGTCTGCTCAGTGTGTAAAGGCGTTTTGCCCGGTGCCCTGTTACAAATATCTTGGTTGTTGTGTTGCTATTTTTGGTTGGAGAACTTGTAATCAGAAGCCAATGGTGATGCATTCATTCAGTTGCCAATGCATCCAGGGCACCAAAATCGCCGTCGCACTCGATGTATGGTTGCTTTGTCGCAATGTTGAATTTATGTTAGTTAATTTTGCCCAATTTTAGGTGACAACTTCTTCAACATGAAGAGCAAGAAGTGGCAGAAGAGCAAGGAGGCTGACAACAACCGCTCGTTCAACCAGTTTGTGCTCGACCCCATCTACAAGGTGTTCGATGCTGTGATGAACTTCAAGAAGGACGACACTGAGAAGCTCCTCGGAGCCCTGAAGATCACGCTCAAGGGCGACGACAAGGAGAAGGAGGGCAAGGCGCTGCTGAAGGTGATCATGCGCACGTGGCTGCCAGCTGGCGACACCCTGCTGCAGATGATTGCTATCCACCTGCCGTCGCCGGTGACGGCCCAAAAGTACCGCATGGAGATGCTGTACGAGGGCCCGCAAGACGACGAGGCGGCGCGCGGCATCAAGGCGTGCGACGCCGACGGCCCGCTCATGATGTACGTCTCGAAGATGGTGCCGACCTCGGACAAGGGCCGCTTCTACGCGTTCGGCCGCGTGTTCTCCGGCAAGATCGCCTCCGGACTGAAGTGCAAGATCATGGGCCCCAACTTCGTGCCTGGCAAGAAGGAGGACTGCACTGAGAAGACCATCCAGCGCACCATTCTCATGATGGGCCGCTACACCGAGGCCATCGAGGACGTGCCCTGCGGCAACATCTGCGGCCTGGTCGGCGTCGACCAGTTCCTGGTCAAGACCGGCACCCTCACCACCTTCCGCGAGGCCCACAACATGAAGGTCAGTGTCTGCTGAAATGTTTGGGTGTCTTGGTGCACATTTACAGCGGCCTAAAATTGAGGATCTGCAGTATCAAGTGCAACTAATGCACAACAGTATTGTGTTAAATTCCCTGTAGGCATAACTTAATTGTTTTGTTTTGTGACCATTTGTGTGATAACCATACCAGTTGAACATATCAGATTCATAATGGTCATTGGACAATCTAATCGCCATCATTTGGCACTATCTTTGGGTATTTGGCATTTTGGATTGAGGTGAGCATTACAGCTTTACCTGAGAGCTCAGTGTTAAACCCATGAGATCATTTCGGCACATTGTTGTTCCTGAATACAACAGGTCTTGCCACTGTAAGCAGCAGTGATATTTTGGCACCAGACCGCGACGGCTCTTATAGGATTGGCCACTAGCTCCAATGCGGTCAGGTGAGACGCCCCCTCTTGTCCGTTGCAGGTGATGAAGTTCTCCGTGTCGCCCGTCGTGCGCGTGGCCGTCGAGGCCAAGAACCCGTCCGACCTGCCCAAGCTGGTGGAGGGCCTGAAGCGTCTGGCCAAGTCGGACCCCATGGTGCAGTGCATCATCGAGGAGTCTGGCGAGCACATCATCGCGGGTGCCGGCGAGCTGCATCTGGAGATCTGCCTCAAGGACCTGGAGGAGGACCATGCCTGCATCCCGCTCAAGAAGTCGGACCCGGTCGTGTCCTACCGCGAGACGGTCAGCGACGAGAGCAGCGAGATGTGCCTCTCGAAGTCGCCCAACAAGCACAACCGGCTGTTCATGAAGGCCTGCCCCATGCCCGACGGTCTGCCGGAGGACATCGACAACAACGACGTCAGCCCACGCGCCGACTTCAAGGTGCGCGGCCGCTACCTGGCCGACAAGTACGACTACGACATCACCGAGGCCAGGAAGATCTGGTGCTTCGGACCCGACGGCACCGGGCCCAACATCCTGGTCGACTGCACCAAGGGAGTCCAGTACCTCAACGAGATAAAGGATTCCGTTGTCGCCGGCTTCCAGTGGGCCACCAAGGAGGTGCGTTCGCGGTGTTGGCTAACTCAACCCTTTTTTGTCACACTGTCAGTGTCAATGATTGTATTGCGTTGCACATCAACATTTCTGTTCTAAAATGTCCTGATGTGTGTCGTCTCTCCACTGTTGCACGGTCCGTTGTCGTTGGCTCGCGACGTTTGTGTTATGTCGCGACCCAGTTGTGATCGCCCGGTCTCACTGCTTTGTCCGCCGGCAGGGAGTGATGTGCGAGGAGAACATGCGCGGCGTGCGCTTTAACATCCACGACGTGACGCTTCACGCGGACGCCATCCACCGCGGCGGCGGCCAGATCATCCCGACGGCGCGCCGCGTGCTGTACGCCTCTCAGCTGCTCGGCGCGCCGCGCCTCATGGAGCCCGTCTACCTCTGCGAGATCCAGTGTCCGGAGGCAGCCGTCGGCGGCATCTACGGCGTGCTCAACCGCCGGCGCGGTATCGTGTTCGAGGAGATGCAGGTGCCCGGCACGCCCATGTTCGTGGTCAAGGCGCATCTGCCCGTAAACGAGTCGTTCGGCTTCACGGCCGACCTGCGCAGCAACACCGGCGGCCAGGCGTTCCCGCAGTGCGTGTTCGACCACTGGCAGATCCTGCCGGGCGACCCAACTGACGCCGGCTCCAAGCCGTACAACGTCGTGCAGGTACGGTGCGAGGGGCGCGCCGCGGCCGCTGCGGGGAGCCGGGCGATGGCCGTGACGTAGAGAAGGCGCTGCCGTTGGCTGGCTCACACTTCCTGAACTATCGGTGGTCACTAGTGCGGTGGTAGCGTGCCGCAGTTTGGTCTTTGAGCTGCTGGGTGTGCCGTTAAGATATAACGGCATCCGTTGTAAATGTATCCATGGCTCATCCGTCCATCGTCCATTCGTTATGTATCGGGACCTTTGGCGAGACTTAGGTTGTGTTGGCGCCTTCTCGACCCTGAAAAACGACCTCTGAATTCATGGGAGCGGTCTCGTTCATATCGATAGTGCCTGACGTGAATCGTTATTTGCAGGACACGAGGAAGCGGAAGGGCATGAAGGAGGGCCTGCCCGACATCTCCAACTACTTCGACAAGTTGTAAAACACCCACCAGGACCGCAAGAACGCTAGGCCTTTGCTTCATATTTAAATATTTTATTATGATCCCAGCTTGTATATTGTTTTACATGCGGTGAGGGCGGTGGCACGGAGCAGCATGTCCGGGAAAGAACTCAAGAACTCAATTCCACTGGGTGATAATAAACGGATCCAACATCTTCCTGAGGGGAAATGGTATTTTATTTGGTCGACGACGCGATGTGCAAGTGCGGCGGCCTGTAGCGCACGAGAGGATCTGAGGCTCACCCTGAACACTTCGAACACGCATTAAATACCCATCTCTATGAATTGCGAGCCTAAAAGCCCGGGAGGCAGTTGATCGGAGCGGGCACTGAGAGTTTTCGGCGTGGGTGGGTGCGGTCCCCTTGTAGAGGCAAACCGTGGTGAAGGGACTTGGCCCCGGTGGCGCCGCCCCTGGCCGACAGGCGCCGCTGGTTGTGTGACAGGGTCCGCGGCACTGGGCACGCGTTGGCTGGAACTGATGGGCGGCACGCACCGTACGGTGAACCGCACCAATCCTCGGTGCACACGTGATCAGCAGCTCTGTGGTGGGTGGTGGTGAGTTGCGCGTCCGTCGCTACGTGATGTTATACTAGTAACATACATTACGGGATACCTCGCGGCGCGGACTATGTACGGGAGTGGGCACAAGATGATTTGTGAGGAATTGAATTGTATGGCCGAAGTACGTTCCTCTGCTAGTGATAATTGTGCGCATTATCATAAATCAATCGGAGAGACATGCCACTGATCGTCACTCCCGGCGCTCGGGACGGGGACCACCTCCAGTTTCCACATGGTGTACACCGTTGTGAAGTGCCAAAGAGGAGTTCATAAAGGAAGTAAAACAAAAGTTAACGCAAGAAAAGTCATCACATACATATGTGGGGATAATTCGACTGTCAACTGCCGGGTAGCTGAGGTGTTACGTGTAGGCTTGGGCACAGTGAGGATCAAGATAACGAAGGCTAGCCTGTTGGGTGGCGAACGAGTGTCATGCGCTGTTGATTTCGGGGTACCTCAATATCTGATACCATGCAATGGACGTCATTTGGCAGGTTTAACAAGTGATGAAGATACCACAAAACATGCAGAAAAACAGTATATTGGGTTGTAACGCGAGGCAACAACACAGCCACCGACACGATGGCCATGAATCGTCACGATATGACTCAGGAGTCATCATGGTAGGACTCGTGAGCCATCGTGTTATGACTCATGAGTCATCACAGTTTCATGAGTCATGCCACCGCAGGATGACAAGTCGCGATGACGCCAAATCCAGGCCGATGCGGGTCTGAGAAATAATTCACCTTAGTGAGGTCGGGGGCCATCCTGACCGTGGTTTGGGATGAAACCCAACCTTCCACTAACGCCCGAGCGTCCAACGCTCCACCGACTGACCTTCCATTCACGCGCGTCTGAAACGACGCCTCTGCATTGCCGCATGCTGATGACTGCTGGTGGTATATGAAGCTTATATCTCCGGTGACAGGGCCGCCCTCTCCACCCCTCGCCTTCGGCATGCGAATGGTGAAATTGAAACCTGGCCCGGAGTCACCCCCGCCCAGCGCAAACGTGCGCGTCGAGCCAAACGTCATCGCCAAAACATCAGCGGTTAAAAATTGCCCCGGTTCTCGGAACAGACCATGTTTGGATGGAATTGTACATTCAGTTCTTTTCTTGGAAATGAGTGGTGTTCGATGCAACAGGAGGCACTACTAAAAGGACATCAATCAGTAATCAGAATATTGTATAATGTATCCCAATGATAACCTGACATCCGTGTAACCAGTACCTCTGAAGTAGAATATAACGTATAACCAGTCCTGGTACACTGTAGGTTAGTTGTTTTTCGATACAAGAACTTGCCGCACCGCACCACATTTCCTGAACCTGTGAGACCACTAAAGGCACGTGCACAGCACGTCGGACTTCAAATCCGGCAAGCTGCAGTCACGTCTCCGCGGCCTCACGACACACAGCTGGTGAGGTCATATGGCGCCGTCTGCATCTCGCCGTGGCTTTAACCGACCTCATCGCCGTGCTTGTTCATATTGACCACTGGCTGGGCCACCTCACTGATGCACGCATTATAACAGACGTGGCGGTACACAGACACCACGATTCGAGCCGTGAGCCGCGGACGAGGTCTGCGAGGCCAGTGATAACAGCAGCCGCCGAAACAATTCGGGACTCATCAACAGTGCCGCGCTTCCATTGGCTTCTGTGGCGTGAAACCTGGTTCTAAATCATCGTGGGTAGTGTATTCGCATAATATGGGATAGTAACAATATTGCACGGATCGGCATGTGTGCTAATAGAGCACAACCAATGGCACACATCATCAACAAATCGTGTCGCAAACCCCGTCCACTGACATGAAGCCTTTCCATGCCAAGCCGTGGGACTGCTGCAGCTGCTGCCTCGGCGCACCATCGGCGTGAAAACACGCTGCATTCCCGCACCGTGATGCTGACAGATCCCCTGCCAGGCGCCGGCGCGCCCGACCCTGCCACCGGCAGCTACGAGTGACGTCACATAACTAAGCGCGGCCGGCCGGGTCGGCCAATGAGCGCGGAGCGGCGGCCGGGCCGACGGCGCCGCGGCGTCCGCTGCGTCACACCATGTCCGCCTCCCGGGCCGGATACGGCACGGGCGCGATATGTCCATGCGGCAGCTGGATGTTGCAGAGGGACGCCTTTCCCATGTGCGAGCGGTGCCAGCGGCGGCTGCCGCTCGATGCCTCCTGCAGTGTGTGCGGCAGCTTCATAACGGTTCTCTCGCCCAGCGTGTCCGGCGACTCCGGGTACAGGTCGTCGCCTGGCGATATACGTGCCAGGTCAGCCATGGGCCAGCCCGGGCCACGACCGGAAAAATCTGTAGGTTTTGAACTCAAAGGGGATGTTCCACATTTCTAGCTGAAATAGTCATCATGAAGATCATTCGGTGCAGTTCAAAGCCCCGCCTTTCTTAAGACCTGAACCCCTCTAGTTTCTGAGCTAACGCCCGCGAAGATGGGGAGACTGTTTCTGAGGGAGTACTGCAAGGTCACCTTGGCACTATTGACGTTGTAATGCCATTCAAATCCTGCCATTCCATGAGCCATGTGGCAATTTAGGTCGAGAAACGTGTAATAGCTGAGTCACTCATATCTAACGCTAGTGAGCACGCTTTTCCAATGAAACGGCCGTCTGTTGGCTCTTTATCAGTTCTGTGTAAGGTACGATGTTGTAATCAAACAATGGAATATCGAAGGGCATTTCGACTGAACGGAGAAATTGTGTTGTTTACAGAAGTCTTTTGCATTTCCACGTGTATCAATAGTTATAAGTGAGCTTAGTTCATCGTATCGGATGCTTCTTTCAATATCCTCAAACGTGACACATTTCTTTTAATGGCGCGTTCGTTAATGTCAGTGTGCGACCTGTAATTCATGCAATATCTTTCATTTTAACAGGCGCCTGCTCCTTACGATGTACTACATGAAACCTCACCGTATTTGTACCGCCCGGGTGTCACCCTTCATATCGACTCCATGAGAAAAGACCAAACGATGGCAGAACACAACAAATATCAGAACCGCCGTCGCAACACGGCTGTTGACACCAAATGCGCATGCGGCGACCTCAATGACAGAAAAGCCACTTCCGTAGTATTTTTCGCCAGTCCACTCCAAGGGTCAGCGTTCTCAAACTTAACAACTTCAGAAAATCCCGATCAGTCAACACTGAAGTCCCTGCATCACCCACAGACACGCCAGAGACTTGGAGGAGGCTTGGAAGCTTTCAAGACTGAAATATGCACAGGAACACACACATAAACAAATGACCAAAGTACGCGTGCCCCGAGGACGCTGACACCTTCAGTCTACGCGCTCGGTAAAGGGCATTCATTTGAAGTCCATCCGCCGAGAAATATGGGTAAGATCTTCTTTTCAAGCTGGTGCATCACGTACATTCACAATTTGGATTTTGAAGGGGTGCGTGCTTAAGCAAGGAATGTGTTAACCAATATGGATAGGAGGCAGGCTTTTTGCACGTTTAACAGCCATTTTTATATCTGTGCAGTTTGTGCAACAGATAAATGCCCACTTATCGCTTCATGATTTCCTTGCTAGTACTGCAATAACAACATTTCATAATTGTCGTTTTCATCCTATTTTGGACATGCCTGTCAGACACCAGCATTTCGTAGCGGTTCAGTTGGATAATTCTCAGTTCTGACGACGTACAACATTTTTTAGACATGTCTTGGCAATCTAACCAGACCAGCTAGAACTCAACATCGCATCGGCCTTGCCCAAACCGGATATCCCTGTACCCGCCCATGACATTAAATTGACGTATGCGCACCTGATAAGTCTGGATGAGTGCCTCAATCCATTTTTGGATGTACGGGGAGCTTTTTGCATAAATTCATTAAACCAACGCTATTATCAACTTCTACAAAACCTTTTCTCTCGCGCGCGCGCGCCATTGGAAACGTTTTTTTCCTGTGCGAGAAACGAGTTACTTACTCGGTCGAACGTTCGCAAAGCAGTCCATCAAACTCAACAATTTCAAGGGAGTCAGATCCGCCCGCGTAGAATTGAACAAACTCGACACTTACCACCTTCATCAACCACACTAGTCATCACTCTCGCCTACCACCTGTCGCCATCACCAACCCACCTGTCTTCATCGTCGCCCACCTGTCATCATCACCGACTCACCTGACCTCATTATTGCCAACCTGTCTTCATCATCGGCTCACCTATCGTCATCACCGCCAACCTGTCTTTATCACCGACTCACCTGTCCTTATCACCGCCCCAGCTGTCCTTATTGCCGCCAAGCTATGATCACCAACCCACCTGGCCTCATTATGGCCGAACTACTCGCCCTCACGCTCCCGAGCCCCAGTGCTCACCCTGGAGCGGACCGAGCCCTTACTCTCCTTGAGTCGCAGTGCTCACTCTGGCGCAGACCGAGCCCTCACGCTCCCGAGTCCCAGTCCCCACCCAGGAGCGGACCGAGCCCTCACGCTCCCCGGGTCGCAGTCCTCACCCAGGAGCGGACCGAGCTCTCACGCTCCCCGAGTCGCAGTCCTCACCCAGGAGCGGACCGAGCCCCCACGCTCCCCGAGTCGCAGTCCTCACCCAGGAGCGGACCGAGCCCTCACGCTCCCCGAGTCGCAGTCCCCACCCAGGAGCGGACCGAGCCCTCACGCTCCCCGAGTCGCAGTCCTCACCCAGGAGCGGACCGAGCCCTCACGCTCCCCGAGTCGCAGTCCTCACCCAGGAGCGGACCGAGCCCTCACGCTCCCCGAGTTCCAGTCCCCACCCAGGAGCGGACCGAGCCCTCACGCTCCCCGAGTCCCAGTCCCCACCCAGGAGCGGACCGAGCCCTCACGCTCCCGAGTCCCAGTCCCCACCGAGGAGCGGACCGAGCCCTCACGCTCCCCGAGTCGCAGTCCTCACCCAGGAGCGGACCGAGCCCTCACGCTCCCCGAGTCCCAGTCCCCACCCAGGAGCGGACCGAGCCCTCACGCTCCCCGAGTCGCAGTCCTCACCCAGGAGCAGACCGAGCCCTCACGCTATCCGAGTCGGTCCTCACCCTGGAGCAGACCGAGCCCTCACGCTCCCCGAGTCGCAGTCCTCACCCAGGAGCGGACCGAGCCCTCACGCTCCCGAGTCCCAGTGCTCACCCAGGAGCAGACCGAGCTGGTTGCCGTCGCTCAGCTGGGCGATGACGGGGAACATGCGGTCGAGACCGAGCGGCGCCCTCTCGCGACTGAACCGCTCCAGGCGGCTCCACGCTGCGAACCGTTGCAGTCGGCTGAGCTCGTACATCTGTGGCGGCATCAGCACGGTCCGGCCGGCCGCCTGGTCCGCCAGCACCTCAGCCGGCCGCCGCCACTGCCGGCAGCGCGCGTCAGGTGAGAGCTCTGGGTGTGGGTGGGAGGCTCAGCGTCAGATGAGAGCTATGGGTGGGGGGGGGGGGGGGGCTAGCGTCAGGCGAGAGCTCTGGGGGCCGTTCAACGTCAGGCAAGAGCTAGGGGGGGGGAGGCTCAGCGTCAGGTGAGAGATATGGGGGGCCGTTCAACGTCAGGCAAAATCTAGAGGGGGAGGGGGGGGGGGGGGCTCAGCGTAAGGAGAGAGCTATGGGGGCTGCTAGCATCAGTCGAGAGCTATAAGGGGGGGGGAGCGCTAAGTGTAAGGAGAGAGCTATGAGGGGGCCTCAGAGTCAGGAGAGAGCCATGGGGCCGCTCAACGTCAGCCGAGATCTTGGAGGGGGGGGGGGGGGGCTCAACATCAGGAGAGAGCTATGGGGGGGGGGGGACGCTAGCGTCCGGCGAGAGCTATAAGGGGGGAGGGGCGCTCGGCGTCAGGGTGTAGCGATGAATATAGGGCGCCAGAAGCGCCTCAGAACTGCACCCCTGGCGTTCCCGTGCCATCAAAGGAGCTTAACTATGTGCAACATTGTTGGTTGTTTATGGCCATCAAGCCCGGACCCATGTCCCCGTTCAGGGCAGCTTCACGACTCCAACACACATCAACATCAAACACAGGTCGTTATAAAAACGCCCCGCAGTGCGCACCCGGACATGGGACCATCCATGTTTGTGGTATTTCACAACCCGTGATGATCGCACGCAAAAGTGGACAGTCATGCCGTCAATGCAATGCAACAGGTGGAAGAGACACCACCAATCAAAAGTTGAAATATTCATGATGAGCCGGCCAGGTCTTCACATATCAGCTGCTATTTAAGCGTCAACAGCACACAACTGGAGTACCATTTTCTACCCTCACCCCACGTTCGCTCCGCTCTACATCCGCACCACCCTTTTCGTTGTTCCACTCCCCAGTTCCAACCTCCCCTGCCCCACATCCCCACCGTGCCTTTCCCTTCTGCTGACCATCCCCTCTCCCCGTACCTCGACGCGCTCGCTTTCCGTGCTGTCCGCACTGCAGGCCGGCCGCTCGGGCACGCTCGCCACGAAGAATGCCGCGTCGTGGCGATGACCGGTCACACCGACCGGCGTCAGCCAGGCGCTCCACTCGTGCAGGCTCCACACGTCGGGCACCAGCCGCCTCTCGCGCGCCAGCTCCATCAGCGCCGTCGGCCGGCGCTGCAC